ACGTGACTTAGAATTATTTTCTCCGGATTTCATACCGAAGTGTACCAAAAATATTTCTTTAAGCAATATCCTACGTCGCTGGAAGACGTCTTTAATTGTCCCGAGTATCCGCAAGTCAAGGGGAAGACATCAGGAATCCGATGGCATATACATTTAATACATAAAGTACTAACCTGTTTGGATACACTATAAACTAACACAAACATCTAGGCTATAATTAAAGAATTATCATTAACAGGACATACCAAACACAAACAAGTTGCAGCTGCTTCTGCTTTCGTGTTGGAAGCACCAAGGTTGGAAGGTTTAGATGATCAATATCTATGGAGATTCTCACTCATACGGGTCATGGCTGTCCCAAAGGTGCTTTTTCAAGAGGCAACTGGAGTTTCTTCAGCTCTGACTGGATGGTGGAGAATGGAGGGATTTATATTTCTTGCAGACAGCTGGTCATTTGCATTCCTTTAGAGAGTTGTTGAGGTTTCCAAAGAAGGGTCCACACCTATCTGCACTATTCAGATGACCCTGAAGACACATATAAACCTCCAAGTAGCCTCAATGCAAATGACCAGTGTCTGCAAGGAGTAAAAATCCTTCCATTCCCCACCATCCAGTCAGAGCTGAAGAAGCTTCTTAGATAAGAAGTGAAACGTCTTCAAAGAACAAACAAGAAAGTCCAGTTGCCTCTTGAAAAAGCACCTTTGGGACGATCAAATGGTAACATCACAGGGGATGCCCAATTGGGGGCTCCTTTCATGTCTCCATTAAAACACAATGTTACTATTTCGCTTAGTTGTGGATTCATTTCAGCAAATTCTCTTGATCCACTTCCACCATACCTGAACCAATATTAGGTTTTGCTAGTATTTTTTGGCTTGTGGCCTAAAAAGTGTGAGCACTTTCATAAGATGCTGACACCAATATAACAAGTTTAGAAACATCCATTCAATTACTACTCAAGCCCTGAGTTAGATTTGAAACTTCAATAAACACTCCATGTAATAATAATAATAATAATAGTAAAGTTGGAAGGGACCTTGAAGGTCATCTAGTCCAACCCCCTGCTCAGGCAGGAAACCCTATACCATTTCGGACAAATGGCTGTCCAGTCTCTTCTTAAAAACTTCCAGTGTTGGAGCATTCACCGCTTCTGGAGGCAGGTTGTTCCACTGGTTAATTGTTCTCACTGTCAGGANCATGTAGATGAGGAGTTAAGTTCTTGTGAGTTTCAAAAGCAGCAAATAAAAAATAATCAATATTTGGAACCTGAAATTAATTTCAAATTATTTTCTACCCTTTACCATACTTCAATTCCAAGCTACAATTTATAGTGACTATGATAGCTAATACCTAAATACACAAAGACATACACATGTGTGTTGTATCTGTGTGTGCAGGGTTGTCTTATTGACCTACCTATAGATAAGTAATAGTTAGTCATACTTCTTATGACAGTGATGGCAAACCTTTTAGAGACCAAGTGCCCAAACTGCAACCCAAAACCCACTTATTTATCGCCGGGTGCCAGGTGGGCTTGCCCCACTGGGTGGGCGTGGCTGTGGTGATCATGGTAGATTGGGTGGGTGTGGCTAAGGTGAGCGTGATCACCTCTATGTTGCTTGTGGGGAGGGACGCCTGTGGGGCCTGGGCAGGGTTGGGGGAGATCCAGGGGGTCTCTGGCAGGTGGGGCGGTGGGCAGGAGGCTTGTCCTGCTGGGTAAGGCAAGGCAAGGCAGGGCGGAGGTGCCATTGTCACAGGGCAAGGTGAGGCAGGGGCCAGGGCGGTTGCTGCCTGACACCATCAGCCGCTGCACACAGAGGCCAGTGAGTGCATGGGTGCTGGGATGCATCTGGCCATGTGGGACCTCGGTGAATTAGCGGGCGGCTGGTTGAAGAGGGACAATTGCCATCTCCGGGGCATGGCACGCGTGCCCACAGAGAGGGCTCTGAGTGCCGCCTCTGGCACGCGTTCCATAGGTTCACCACCACTGTCTTATGATATATAAATACCTCTTATGATATAAAACCATAGTCAAAATATACCCCCCAAATTGGAAGAAATACAGTCATGAATGGTGGGCTCTGGTATCTTTGTTCATATACAATGCAATGCCCAAAGTAATTGAAAAAGGAAAAATGGATATAGGAACATTCCAGTTATATATGCCTGAAAGGAAACAAAAAACTCTGCCGGAAAGAAAGTTGCATGGAATCCCTTCCAATTTCCAATTCTGTTCACATAAATTTAAAATACACATCTGAGAAGACTGCAGTGCTGAAAATTGGCTACGACATTTATTAAATGTATGTTGTGCAGCAAACACAAGTTCCCAAAACTATGCACATAATTTCAAAGGAATCTTTCCTAACATTCTTCTCCAGAATTGCATTTCCTACACAAACATGTTGGTATTTAGCTGACATTTATTTGGGAAACTTGTGTTTGCTGATGTAACGCAGAGTTCTAGCTCAAAATCAATGGCTGAAACAGTGCTAATGGCTGACCTTCTCATCCACCATAAGAATGGTTTCCACCCATAATGCTCCAACATGTAATATTCCAGATTTGGAAGCCTGTGCTAGGGGCCCTTTGCTAAAGACGGCAATTTGGAGCATATCTATCTCCTCCATCCATTCCCTGCTTCTGCACTCTAAAACACATTTTGTGTATTTGCTCTACAAGTTAAAAAAAAAAAGCTATTTGGGTATAATTACACACAACCGCGATACTTAGTTCTTCCTAACTAAAAGCCCCATTTTAACAGAGAACTCATGCTTATCCTTGTTTAAAAATGTTGGTTTTCCACCTTTAGAGTTTTACTCTGTTTGCATCTCTTGCTATTAGCATTTATATATTTATATATGAGAGAAGGCAGGAATAAGCAAAGTCTTATGGAAGATTTGAGCGTGGATGTTTTTAGTTCTACCTAGAGTAATGGAAAATACTATCTCTAACCATATTATCCAGTCTCGCTTATATATACTAGTATATCTGTGAGAAGACTTCATATAGTGCCAGTTCTTTTCCTTTAGCTACAAAATCCCATGTTCATCCATCTTTAATTATAAAGGACTGTGAGAGCCTCTTTTCGTTATCTTTATCTGCAATTTCATATTGATATATATGAAAACGTTGTTGTCCTGGAAGGACAATTTTTGGAATGTTAATGTGAAACAAAAGGTGGGTTAGGTTTAAAGTGGATTCAGCTATGTTATACAGGGACAAGACCAGGACTGTCCTAACATATTTGTGTTCAGGTGAGCTGGGGTTTTCTTAATAGGCTAAATGTGATTGATAGCTAATAATATTAACATTTACCAATGCAAAGTGGCAGGCACTATATTATCAGGTCATGGCAATAATAGGGAAAAAAACTGCAAGTTACAAAAAGAAGCCCCAGAAGTATCATCCAGATGCATTCATTGAATTGCTTAATTAAACCATTTCATCTCATCTTCTGTTAAAGTTGAAGATACTAAAAATGGAAGAAAAACCATTTGGAGGTTATCAGTGATTTGTCTTAAAGTATTCCACAATTATTACTAAATTCAGACCTGATTTTCTCCAGAAGCAGATGGTATCTGACAACCTGACTAGCAAGGAAGAGACTGTGCAATTAAATCAGTGATACTGCAAGGCTAGTCAATTACAGGATTTTTATCAATGGAGCCAAAGACTTTCCTTGCAGAATATATATCTTATCTTGGCAAGAAACATATAATGTAACCTTCACTAGTAAGTGATAATGAGCAGGCAGAATATAGAGTCCAAGAGCAACTAAAGCTAGCTATAATTTGGCTTACGGAAGGGGGAAAAGTATGATACTAGCTCCACTATTTCTGAATAATTGATAAGGAAGTTAAGTTCAGCTATACAACAGTAGTATAGTGTCACCACAATTATTTAAAAACAAACAACTAAAAAAACCCAAGCTTTAATGAAAGGACATTTTTCTGTTTCTCAGAAAAGAAGATACAGCAAAAATGCAACCCTGGAATAAAATATAGCCACTACTGTGTTAGTGACAACGTTTAAGCCAGCACAATGTTTTGCAATCCCCATTTTTTTCTCTTTTTGTACACTCCAGGTTCAGAGTCTGTTCTGGAAAATACAGCAAGCTGGAAATCAGGATCCAGATTAATTTGCTGATGACTGTAGAAATATGAACATTATTGTATTCTTCTGGGTTCCCCCAATCTTGCTATGTTGGTTTGCTAATACTGTAAAAATACCATGAATTTATGAAGGAAACACATTTTAAAATAATCCATGTAATGGTAAATAAACCGTTATCATGCAATGTTACAATCAGATGGAGGGAGTAAATTGCAAAGATGGAAATTTACACAAAGACACTATGGCAGGCCTGACACACTACTTGGTCAAGGAGGGGAATAGTTACTCTGTCAAGTAGAAAGAATTAAGGATTTTTTTGAAAAGCTAAAATTCTCTTGTTCTGATAAAGTCATGATAAAAAGGTGTGACTTCAACATTTGATTTGTCATGTATTCACCTTTTTCAATTCCACAAGCATCAGATGTCCCAAACGTCAACGTCCAAAGGGTTAAATGTCTATTACACAACACAATCCTTGTTAGTATGAAAACTTGGCAATTTTTAATAATATTAGTTATTGCAGCCTGGAGGAAGAGTTAGTGGTATCCTTTTTAATTATTAACCTAACAAGTTGTGTTTTGTGATCAACACTATTTTTAAGGTATTTGAGTTTGATTTTAAAATGCTCCATGACAGAGCATTTCTCTTCAGCCAAAATGTGCAAATAACAAGATCTGGAATTGTGCAGATCAGCTTATGTGTAAGAAATGAATCTGAGTCTTTTGTTTGAAAAAAATACATTCAGAGTAAGTGGAAAGAATGGCTACTGGCTCTGTGACAGGAGAGTCAAATCTTCATAAACCTGAAAGAGAGGGGAGGAAAAAAGCGACACAAATGCGTCCTACAAAAGAACAGACCAGATCACAGCTGGAAGGAAGGCAAACCTTTTAATCAGGTCCTTGAAATACAAGCTGCAGGAAGCTAGAACATTTTGGTGGACTTCAAACTCTTTGCCTTCAACAATAATTTTCAGGTCTGTAAACTCTTTCGCTCTGCGTTGCTGGTTCAACTCCTTCAACATTTCTGCAGAACAGAGAAGACAGACAGTGCCAGGTTTCCCATTAAGAGATTTTTTTTTCAAAAATGTATTCTTTAAAAAGTAAAAATTAAAAACAAGAAGAGTAGAGAAATAGGAAATGTTTGATGGTTTTGTTGGCAAGACTGGTTCAACGTTGGACAGTCAAAGAAATCACAAACATCATACTATATAAATAAATATATGCATATAAAAGTCAGAAACAATATGTTTAGGCAACAAATCCTACATTTCAAAGAGAAAAATAAATTTTCCTGCATCAGTCAAAATTGGAAATGCAACAACCCATCATCACAGAACAGTTAACAATACATTTCGAAACAGAATGCAAGAACAACTTATTTGACTTCTAAATATACTGGAATTAATACTGAATAAATTGACATTTATGAAGCAATATGAAAAAAGTGCAACATTTGCAAAAATCCTTAACTTAGTTATGTTGTAAGTTGTTTTAAAACCAGGAAGTTTTTGCTAACAGCAGGCCTATCAATGACAATTTGAAAATTATAAAAGCAGCAGGAAAACTTTCTGACATATTTCATATTTAATTAAAAAAGAGAATTAAAGGCAGTCTTACTATTTCTCCCATTTCTTCCAATCTGAATTTTCATTGTATTCAGTTTTTAGAGGAGTTTTTACAATTGAGTTTCTGGTACCAATTAATTTCAACCCAAGGCAATACAGGATCCTGCAATAATTCACTTACCATGCATAGAGAGGGAAAGAAAACCAGCAACATGCCTTAATCCACTTAAAGCAGATTGGGAAACAAGAGCTTATTTTCTAAACTAAGTACCAGAATGGCTATAAAGCAGATGGGACACACAAATTTTTGGTAAACAGGCAAAGTTTGAAATTACTAATTAAGCTGTGCTGATATTCCAGCTGTGGCATTACATTTACAATAGGTCAAGAACTTAATTTTCTTCAGCCTCACAGCTACAATACTGTACTTCTTGAAGCTTAATTCCATTTGCGCTAATAGGAGTAAAGATGACCTTTAAGTGTGTCTGGCTCTCACATACTAAAGGGAAATCAGGCCAGAAACAGCCATGCTTCCTAATAATGGTCACACATCCCCCTCCCAAAGTACCTTGATAAACAAATTCATTGTGGAATAGCAGCAATTAGAAATAGCAGCGATCAAAAGCGTAGTTTGCAAATACTGACATTACATGTTGATGGTATGCAATTATACTCAGAACTAAGCAACAAACATCTAAAAACAAAGTGTCACCCTGCACACATTTTTCTTTTCTTTTTTAAAAAAAAATAGAATCATAATGAAGTCTGAAAAGTTAATTATTCTGTGCAAAAGAGGGTCAGAATTCTCCAGACAGCCAGGTTATCATTAGAGGGGCACAGAAGTCAATAGCAGGCTGCATCAAATCTGCTGAAGAGGAAACTGCTTGACTATCTGGGGTCCTTCAAGGAGCTACTTGAACAGAATCCCTCTGAGCAAAAATCTAGTAGCATGGCTCAAGAACATCCATGATTTAAAATAAGTCAGACAGAATCGAATGTTTGCAAACTATGAAAATCAAGGATACCTTCCTTAACAAAATGTACAAGTTTCATCTAAAACTTCCTAAAATAAGGTACCTGAACTGGTCCATGTAAAGGATTAGAGTAGATCACAACTGTCTCACAAAACGATGGACAACTTTAAGAAGTAGAGTTTATTGACACACAAAGCAAAAGAGACTTTGCAAAACCAATAAAGGAAGTTGGAATCATTTTTAAAAATGCAAAAGGAAACTAAGATTTTGAGTGTTTCAAAGGAATGTGTGTGGGAATGCGTAAGCAAGGGCAATTTGCAGGTGTGGGGCTTTGAAGAACATGGCTCATCCCAAAATGGAATAGAGTAATAAGACAGGATATAGAAATACAGACATTTCTGATTCTTTCTCTCTCATATACATATACACATACATACATACATACATACATACATACATACATACATACATACATACATACATATACACATACATACATACACTTTCTCTGCAGAAGATATTCCTGAATTTAACATTATCTTTCCTCTCTCTCAAAGACAAGGTAAGAAATGTGCAGAAACACCACAATCCTGGAGAATACAGTTCCTTACCAGGGCAACCTAGGGTTCTCAACTCCAACTGAAACAAAATCTGGATATTTTTTCTTCCCAATTACACTGTACATAACACTAATTTCAGTGTGTATGCACATATGTGGGTGTGTATAGTTTATTCTGACTAAAGAAAACATTTTTTTTAAAAAAGCAGAAAAAAGAATAATGATTAAAGGTATATTTTTAAAATAAGATATTTTTTAAAACTAATCGATACTTACTGCCTTAGTTTCCATTTTTATATAAACACCCATACCTTCCTCCACCTTTCTCTTCCACAAACACTTCTTTCCATCTCTTTTATGCATACAAACATTCTGAGTAACTATTTGTGGAAACGAAGATTTCAAGAAGCAAATCTCTAGTATGTTTGTATTTGTGTATGTGAATGCGTCTGTGTATATACATACACACACACACATCTGTGTATACGTACATAGTGTGAATGTGTACTTATATACATACATATATGTGTGCATTCAGACAGACACATACACACACGTACATGGCACTGCTATATTGGGGATGAAACTACTCAGTCAAAGTTCTCAGTAGTCAGAAGCGATTCTTGGCAATTTGACAAAACATCTCCCATTTCAAAGGTATCTGCGAGGAAAAAAAAGTTTTTGACAAAACTGAAAGGTGTATGAAATCTCCATTTATAACTGTTGTTTATCAAAGCCAGATGGCATTCACAGCACTGCAACCTCCCTGCCACTTCAATCGCTGGTTGTGTTTAAACACACAACTTCTCTCAAGCATGAGCCGAGAGAAGGGGAAAGCTGACACCATTATCTCTGGCCCCAGATTATAGTCCAAGTAAATTGAAATCAGAAGAAAAAATTGATTAACCTGGCACTTGGATAGACATAAGTGCAATTTTTAATCTTCATTTTCTGTATGGTGTTGCGGTCATTACTGTCTTCTTTGCATCCTTTCAGGATTTTGTATTTTCTGTCATTTTCAACACAACCATTAAGGAATCTGTGGGATATTGGATCCTTTTCTTACAGATGTTGAATCCCTGGAAATTTATTTCTTCTAGCACTGATTATCTGAATTCTAATATCTAAAGCTATAAAGGGTTTCTTGGCAATTTTTACTTTTATTTTTAATGATGCTGAGTTCTCTTCCCCACCCCATACTTTGTGAAATTTATTATTTACTTAGTGGCTGATACCTCTAATAACAGCCTTTGGTGCTATAAGACCAGGAGGTGATGTAAAATTGCTATACAAATTGTTCAAGATTTTGAACGTCACAAGCATGCTCAATCCATGGCCCATTCTACAAACCTTCACTTGGCCTTCAAATAGATCAGGGCACAAATTATATATAGCAATTGTTGTATTGTATTTATTTTACTTAGAAGTTACCAGAAAGTGACACTGAGTGTGAGGGTGGGTGGGTAGGTTATTTATCTCCCACAATGGAGGGGGGGGAAGAGAATTGCAATAGGGTAGGAGGTAGAGCCAGGATATGAAGTCCCAGGGGCTTTTAAGGAGAGATGGACTGAGCTTCTATTGTTCTACACCAGGGCTTTTCAACCAGTGATACGGGTACCACCTGTGGTACATTGGCACCTGGTAGGTGGTACGCAACCATCCTAGAAAAGTGGTAGCGGGGGAGGGGAATGAGCTGAACCGGTGGCAGCACTGCACAAGCCTGAGCGAGAGATGGCTGGAGCTGCAGGGCTATCAGGGCTCCGTGGAAGCGCCAGGATTAGTGCTTCTTCAAGACTGTCAGGGCTCAGTGGAAGCGCCAGGCTCCAGCTGGAGCTCGGCACTGATCCTGGCGCTTCTGCTGAGCCCAGAAGAAGCACCGATCAGCTGGAATGTTGCAGCATCTCCAGGGTCTTGTGATTTACATTCAGATACTTGGCAACTGATTCATATTTATGACGGTCACAGTGTCCCAGGGTCATGTGAAGTGACCAAAACCTGCTGCAACCATCCAGCAGATGGGGGAAATAAAAACCAAACATCCCCCCACCCCACCCCGCTGCCAAGCCTCAACAGAAATCCTCACAACAATGAAAACCTCGGACAGGAGGAAGAGCGCCACCGGGTGGGCAGGCAGGTGTCTTGCTCGGCTGTGCCTTGGGGGGCACTTTTTCAGTGCCATTGTACCTTCAAACAGTCACTAAGCGAATTGTTGTAAGTCGAGGACTACCTGTATTTTATTACTTTTTTCCTTTTTTTTTGGTCATCAAGTTTTTGACACCTTGCTAGGCGACTGGTAGTACTCGGATATTGCCATATCCTAAAAATGGTACAATGGGTGAAAAGGTTGAAAAGCCCTGTTCTACACTATGGATTCTGTTGTGCCTCTGTATTAAACCTTTTAAGTGTGAAGACCAAAATTAGCTGTAGTAATCACAAACAATAACACTAAGCTTTAGACCTTAAGCATACTAATGGTTTCAAAATTTAAATGTATGAATACTTATCAGAATTGCCAGCTGCCATACTGTGAAGTACTGAGCAGATTGTATTCAGCAAATGAACTAAAAATTAAATAGAGTGTGTTGCTATCATTTTGACTAAGATAGAACTGCATACTGAGAAGCATATGTGGTATTCTCAACCTGTGTCTATTATAAATGGAGTTCTTTCTCTAATTATATTTTCACCCATCAAATATGGACTTCAGAAAATACAAGGAAGCAGATAGGTGAAAGAATAACACTAATATGAAAATAATGTTCTACTTACTAATTCCCCCATCAGATTGAGGAAGCTGCAAATTAATATTTACTATTGAATGTGTCATTCTGCTAGTAACCACAGTGTTAATTCAGATGTCACAAATGCTCCAATTGACATGGCTCTTGGATCCCTTCATAAAGACAAAGGTATGTCTAATGCAG